TGTGTTACACATATAAGTGGCAATGGTTCAATTATAGGAAAAATGTGGAGGCGATAGAAATATAAATCTGTTTACATAAAAATGGAGCAAGAAAAATGTATACTAACGCATCAATTGAGAACGGCTGGACCGATTTGACTCAAAATTTCTTCCAGTTGTCGGTAATTACAGTGGGAAGGTTTTTATGAAACAAAAATTTGAGAAAAATACGAAAGATATGAGCATTTCCACACATTTTATATCGAACCTTTATGATTTCATCTCTTCGTAGTTCTTTTTGGATATATTTTGGGCGAAAATGGACAGCGTGTATCTTTAAGTAATTGTTAGTTATGGAAAATTCTCAAAATATGTTAATTTTCTACAATTGATTGTATTGTCATTACCTTGAAAGAACTATTGTATATAAATTTATATTTTCATTAAAGTTAAATTTAATAATAAGAAATCGAAAAGAGAGAGAGCAAGATTAATCGCTATGATTCTTTGCTCACGTTTTCTATAAAATCAAGATTTATTTTGTTAATGAAAATATAAGTTATGTTATGTGAAGAAATTTGCATGGTATGTGTAGGTTGTGAAATGTTTCTCAAATAAAACACAATAAGACATGGTAAAGTAAAGATTCAGCGGTTCCATTATGTGTAGCCTATACCAAAAACTATATTACCCTATAGAGAATACCGAATTAAAGGCAATTAAATTGATATTTTGTTATTACTTTCCAAGTACTTTAGGGTAAGGATGCTTAAAAGCGCACAATAATGAAACAAATTGTTTTGAACATATAAATACACCACATATCCCATGTGATATCTGGGCCACTGATCGAAACTTGATCGTCTCCTTAATAGGAAACAACACCGGGAATATACATAGACATATGTTTTTATGTTTTAGTAAAAACGAAACGTCTTTCAAAGTATTCAATACAGTTCATTGATGTTAGTAATTCGCTATATACGATTACAAATACGTCAACAAAATACGAAGGTATTATTGAACATGTTCTTATATTCGGGAAGAATACATTTAAATTCGAATCCTACATGGAGGCAAATCCTGTTTTTGTCTAACTTATATTTGCCTTTATGGTTCCTCAAATGTATTTTTAAAGATGTGAATAATGTTTCATGGTGTATTGACTGGACCGACTTCACTCACGTTTTCCTTCGGTTGTTTGTAATTGCACTGGGAAGGTTTTTACGAAGAAAATGTTGAGAAAAACATCAAAAAGTCGGGAAATTGGAATAATCGAATGTTGTGTTAGTTACATTGTTTATAACTCAAGAACTCTACAGCGATTTTGACGATTCAAAGGACTTATAAATCGTATGTGGTCAGAATAGGAAAATATGAAAACTAATTGTGAGATTCCGCCAAAGCAAATATATTAAGTAATATTTAAAATTCCCCAATTTTGCTATCGAGCTTTAATGTTTAAATAAATTGTTGTTTTTTAAGACATATGGTTTTTTGAGTTAGTTAGATCAAAACTTATAATTTCTTAAAATATGTGTATGTTATAATACTAATAATGCGATCGTTAACATCGACGAATATAATGGTATTAGTATTCCCGTCAGATATTTGAAGTTTTGTCTTATTTTACAATGTTTCCTTTTTTGGCCGACAACTTGAAGTTTGGATGTTTACCTATGTAAACTTAAACAACAACTTATTCAAATGTTAAATTACAATCAAGTTATTAAAAAAGTGAGGATATAACAAATCCGATTACAACCTTTCACGATTTAGAGTTAAGATATAAAACAGGCATTTACAATTAAAAGAAGGTATACGGCGTCAACATTGACCAAACTTTTCCCCTTAACTGTCAGAAACTATATATAGAATATATAGCAAATATATACAAATCTATAACGGTGATCTGAAAACTAATTATCACTTTGTTTAAAAATTAAATATACCTATAACTGAGCAAAAACCACTAACTTTCTATGCCAAATCTAAATTTTTTCGAGTTATATACTGATTTCAATATAAAAATCAAAAGGTAAATTGGACAAGAACAAAATTATATTGTAATTAAGAATCCTTCAAGAAGGGACAAATAAGATAATTTATAAAAACGTTGGAGCAATAACCAAACATGATCTTCCAAATAATAAACTGTTATGTGCTTGGGCCATTTAATACTTTTTATTCACATAAACATAGTGGCAAATGTTTTTTACCAATCTTATATTGATGCAATATTGATAAGGAAAAACAACGTTTGCATGGTCAGCTAGTTTTTTTATTTATGGAGACCCGTAGGTATCTCCCTGGTCAAAAACGTGGTTTCCACAAACTTGAAATATTGTATCTTTATTGCTATTTCAACAGCCAAATTAAGGAGAGAGAGTTTACGGTCTGGGCCTGTTAATTAATGTTATTGGTTTTGAATTGATGTTTTATCCCTTTAGAACATACAAAATAAAAATAAACTGAGAACGAACTTGACATGTGCCTCTTGTTTCAATTTTTCTACAAATACACCAGACAAATTATTAATGTTTAGTGAATCTAGTAGTCTAAATTGTCAATTTCATCACATATAACACCTTATAAAAGGGTTAACTCGGTAAAAAGATATAAGGTATATGTCTAAAATGATTGACTCGGTTACACTAAAATGTACTCAGTAGCATTTATCGAATAACATTTAGTAAGATCCAGCAAGAATATATATTTGTGATCTGATTTGGATGAAATTTGGCACAGGTCATTTAATTGGCCCAAGGACGAACCCTATTGAAAATGGGAAAAATCGGTTCAGATTTAGATATAGCTCCCATATATATTTTCGTCCGATTTAAGGTAAATTGTGTTCCAAAGTCCCTGTATATCTTTCGATTTGCACGAAATTTGGCATAGAGTACAGAATTAGGTCCAGGTCGAGAAAATCGGTTCAGATTAGATATAGCTCCCATATATAGTTTCGTCCGAATTAAGGTAAATGGTGCGCCAAAGTCCCAATATACCTTTCGATTTGCACGAAATTTGGCACAGAGTACTGAATTAGGTCCAGAATGATGTGTGCCAGGTTCAGAATGATGTGTGATAAGTTTCGAGAAAATCGGGTCAGATTTATATATAGCTCCCATATATTATTTCGTCCGATCTATGGTAAATGGGGCTCGAAAGTGTCTATATACCTTTCGATTTGCACGAAATGTGGCATAGAGTACTGAATTCGGTCCAGAATGATGCGTGCTAAGTTTCGTGAAAATCGGTTCAGATTTAGATGTAGCTTCAATATATATTTTCGACTGATTTAATTTAAATTGTGCACTAAAGACCCAAAGATTAGCCGATCGGCCCACAATTTTGTACAGTACAGTTACTGTAACCTTTCATGTGTCAAGTTTTCTTGAAATTTATTCAGATGTACATATACCTTTATACATTTTCGGACGATTTTAAGTAAGTGGTACACTAAAGGCCCATACAGACCCATACACGTACATAAATTAATAAAAAGTAATATCTAGCAAGTTTCTCTGAAATTGGTTCAGATTAGCTTCCATATATAATTTCGACTTATTCATGTTGACTGTACACCAAGTAATCGCCTTAGAAAAGGCGACGTCTGTTAGGATACATATGCAGAATATCCCCAAAGTGGTGAAGGGTATCATATAGTCGGCCCAGTCCGACTTTACTGCTTTCCTTACTGGTCTTTAATGAACCTGAGATTATAGCTGGCATTTTTTGTGAAGGTTGCCATCGTTGAGTAAAAATTAACATTGGTGAGCATTGCCATCGTCAGTATTACGTATACTTACCGGTGTTCGTTACAAGCGTACTCGTGTGCATTAGTTTTGTCAAAAAAGTCAAATTCGCATATTGGGCACCCAACGCTATAGCCTGGTAATTATCATTGATATCAGTCTGGTTGGAATTCATATCCTCTGAAGGTTATATTTTTTTTAATATGCGACTCGATGTTTGATTTTTAAGGCTATATTTTCTAGCGGCGGACGTTGAATTGGCAAGTCCACACGCACCATCAGAAATAGTTTTTTCCATCAAAGTTTCGTCTATAGAAGCACGTTTGGTCTTATATATGTAATTTCGAACAATATTAAAGGATTATTTTTTAAAACAAACCTACAAAAATTAAGGAAATAAAGTTTGAAATACTTACGAAATGAAATGAAATCAGTTTTCGTTTTTCCGAATTTTAGTTAAGAAAAAATTGATTTTTTCGTAATAGTACGTTTACATTTAACCGGATTTCGTTAACCCAGTGGGTTTCAATTGTCAATTTCTTTGCATATATGTCAAATAAATCCTCATAAAGTAGGTTAACCCGGTAAAAAGTTGTAATGTATATGCCGTTTAAAGAGGGAAAATAGACAAATGTTTATTCTGAATATGATAATCTAGATTTGGCGCATAAGAAAAAACAAAAGTAACTAGTAAGTAATATGTCACTTTCATATTTACACATGCACTTTTTTACTTTCAGTGTCGCTAAGTTCAATTGTATATAAATGCATAAATTAATGCTGGACAAATTACATTTTAACTAGAAACTCTACAAGCATCAAAAAAGCTGGATAAACCAGCCAAGTTCAGCCAAGGGGGCAAGCCTAATTATATTTGACGTGTACGCTATGGAATTGACATTTGAGATCGAGTGGATTGCGTAAATCTAACCGAACTATTGCTACAAATTATTGGGTTATCAAACGAAACGTATTTTCGTATTCGTATTGGCCCATGTAACATATACTTTAACATACATTCATATCAGTAGGTCCTAATGAATTACCATTCTGATAACCCTCTATAATTTAGCGCAGCCGCGTTATTGTTAGTCTTATCTGCCCTTTTGTTAAAACCACATTGGCAACTCAGTAACAAAAGTTAAATACTATACACATATTTCCGTCAGTTATGGTGGTTGTGTAAATAAGGGTGGAAGTAAATTAATTTTCATCTTAAATAACGATATTTCCTTTAATAAGTTATTTGTTAAAAAAGATTGGAAATCAATATGCCTATAGGAACTATTCTTAAAAAAGCATCGAGTTTTATACTTGGCGACGACAAAAGCGAAAAAATCGATATTTCATATGAGGATAACGAAATTCTATTTTGCAAAAATAATGTCTGCATTCATCCACCTATTGTGGCTAGACAACAATGCGATATTTTGCATTATCCTGGTTATTTAACAGTTACAACGAAAACATTTACTGACCAACACAATAGAGCTAAAAGACCAACTTTGCTGTTATCATGGATTCCAAATACTTCTCTGTGCAAATATCAAGACGAGGATGAAATGGCATCTTCATTTTATTTCTCGAAAGCTCCTATACATAACGATGAGATTTTATTAGAAAAACATGCAAACAACGACGTCATTGAAAAACACAAAAGTGTGGAAAATGTAACTGATGACACAAATTCCACACCAAGAGGGCCAATTAAAGATGATGATATTGCAACAAGCGCAGATATGCAGGAGCTCCGTAACGAATTACAGCCTCTTCTAGGAGGAAAAAAGGCATCGTTGCAAGATTTGGAAGCATTGATTAAAAAGAACCCTATAACTTCAGTGAATATAACTATTTCGAATCCCCAAATTGAAAATGCTAATATACCACAAACATATAACTGTATTGCAGTTTCCGAAAGAGATACTCACCAAGCGGAATCTGACGGATCAGCTTCGGATGACAATAATCCAAACTGGATGACTCCCGAACTGCTTGCGTTTAAGCATAATCTTGCGTTTCCTGACAGCAGTAACAGTACACCAACAATAAAACGGAAATCCATTATGAAGTGCCGTAGGTTTTCCGTTGATTTAAGCCAGATGCGGTCTTTACGATTATTCTTTAACGATAACAGTTGTACATCAGGACAACTAGTAATAGCGTCCAGGGAATCACAGTATAAAATTTTACATTTTCACTATGGAGGATTAGATCACTTAGCACAGGTAAATGAAACAAGAATATTTTAGTTTATTTTTATAGTTGAAGAGAGAATTTCTGTAAAAAGTTAACGAACAAATTAATATAATTTTGTAACAAATTCACTTTACCGGCGCCTCTCAGAACATTTTGAAATGTTTACCATTGGTAGTCCTATTGATACTGAATAAAACAACAAATTTTTTTATGTGGGAAATCAGTAATTCCCGTCATGTGGGGCTCCATATTTCCAACTATAGCCCCACTATGTATTTTAAAACATTAACCTATGTTGAACAATTTTAGGAAATAAGTTTTTTATTCCCCAGGAATCAGAAATTACAAATTTTAGCCACTTGGCGGTATCTATATGAAAACTGTCCCATGTTTCGAATAAATATGATTTATCCTGCAATATTGCAGAATCACAAATTACGGACACTACAATGAGAAAATTATGCCTAAACCTTCCAAATACTGACAATTGGGTGTTATGTGAAACGTGGACACTAGAGTTATGTATTTTTACTGTATAATTTGTTGTACTATAGTTCTGAATTCTACCTCTATTTCTATATGTAATATCAAGTTTATTACCATTTAGTACTCTTCACACACATAAGCACTATTTTCCGAAATCCATTTTTGATTTTATTACACAGATTAAAAATAGATCAGATTTTAGCAAATACGTACAGGTAACTTCCAAAACCCCCTTGGTTTTGGAAGTAACCTGTAAATTTTAGGTTCCAGCCACCCAAATCCAAATTTAGTGCATTTTCTATTCTATTTACTATTCGTACACATAAATTTGATTTTCCAAAGTTGTCGCCATAACTCAATACTACACTTTAAAAATAATCTAAATTCCAAATATCTGGGTTCATCCAAAACCATATTTAGTACCATTTAGTACTTTTCATACTCCTTAGTAACAATATCTAAAACTACATCAATCCTACACTCTAACAGTAATCTTAATTCGACCAAAGTCCAAACCGTACCAAATTTAGTACTTTTCGTACTCATAAGTACAAATTTCCAAATGTACCTCAATCCTGCTTTCAAATTGTAATCGTAAGTCCAAATTTGAGCATTCCAGCTCTGTCTGTTCATTAAAAAACTAATTATACCAGATTTGGTACCATTCTGTACTTTTCCTACCCATATTACAAACCTATCTCAATATTCCAAACCTGCTTTCAAATATAGGAGGTGATGCAAATGTGATATACCCATTTGTTTTCAGATTGCCAAATCTTTATTTTTTATCCGATTAAATTTAAATTTTACACTTAAGCTACATGTGTTGTCTTTCCATGTATCAATTTGAAAATAATATTATTCTAACAATTTAAGAGATATTTGAGAAAATATTTGAAATTCCATTAAAAGTGATTTTAAAAAAAGTGTAGGTAATGTGGTATACCACATGATGTTAATGTGGTATAATATAATTTTCACTTCCAATTGATATCTTATATAATTCATTGTTTTTAAAGAATGTGAACTAGCTCGAGATTTATGTCTGTTAAGATTTTTAACGGATACGTTGAGTGAAACTTTAATTTTTATTATATAATAATGTCTACACATGGCAATATTTAATTTTTGTACGGAGAAGTAGTTAAAATCCCATAACCTTTGTTTTTCATTCTTATGATGCATGGTAGGCGCTGGTAGAGGACAAATGTTTCAAATAGTAATGAAATTTTGTCTTGTGCTGGCTTTTTTTCATACAGACTTCAGGTATACCACATTACCTGCACTTGTGTTCACTGAATAATTGTCTAGTTTTTTCCTAAATTGGTAAATATGTGGTGCAATCGCGCATATTATTTGATTTTTAGTACATACTGATTATTTTAATGATTTCATAATAAAGATTAAAACAAATCTGTAAAACAAAAAATTATGTTTAAACTCCAACCGAAAAAAGTCAATTTCATGAAAAATTTAATTTTTGCTACTGATTCTCAACGTGAGTTAAATAAATTAAAATTTTCAGTTTACAAAAAAGTGACTATACCACATTACCAACCTATACCACATTTGCATCACTTCCTATAGCAATCGTAAGCTCAAATTTCTGTCTGTTCTCCAAATTGTACCAGATTTGGTACCATTCTGTACTTTTCCTACACTCCCACAGTATCCTAAGTGGTAACTTTCAAAATTCGAGTTCTAACTCAAGTCCACATTGTACGAAATTTTGTGCTTTTCGTACCCATAAGTACGAATTTCCAAAAATACCTCAGTCATGCACTCCAATAATAACCTTAAGTGCACATTTAAGGATCCCAGCTCTATCCGTTCACCAACATCCAAATTGTATCAAATTTAGTATCATTTATTACTTTTCGTAGACGTTAGTACGAGTTCCTAAAACTTCTCAATTTCACACTCCAAAACTATTTTTAATGACAAATTTCAGGATCCCATCCCTATCCGTTCATATAGATCCAAATTGTACCATAATTAGTACTTTTCGTACTTATGTGTTCGAATTTCCAACACTGTCTCAATCCTGTACTCTAACAGTAATTTTATTTTTAAATATACGTTTTCCATCTCTATCCTTTTACTCAAATTTAAATTGTACTAAACTTAATACCATTTAGTACACATAATTAGGCATTTTTAAAACTAACTCCATGTATCATCCTACAATCCAATCTCAATCCGCTCACACAAAACCATATTTAGTACCATTTAGTGCTTCTCGTATCCATAAGTACGTAATTCAAATACTACATTAATTCTATAATCTTTCATTCCAAATTTAAGTTTTCCATCTCTATCCGTTCACTCAAATCTAGATTGTACCAAATTTAGTACCATTTAGTACACGTATTACGAATTTTCAAAACTACCGACATATCTCAATCCTGCACGCAAACTGTTATATTAATTCACAATTTCAGGATCTCAGCCCTATCCGTTCACACAAAAACAATTTGTAAACCAATTGGTACCAGTTAGTACTTTTTTCCTGCACTCTAACAGTAATTTTAATTCGGAGCCCAGCTCTATCCGTTCACACATAATTAAGTTGTACCAAATATAGTACCATTTAGTACACGTAAGTACTATGCATTCATATCTCAATTCTATATTCCAACAGCAACCATTATTCCAAATTTTAGGTTTCCAGATCTCTCCATTCACCCAAATCCAAATTGTACCAAATTTAGTTCCGTTTAGTACTTTTCGTACACATAAATACGAATTTCCAAATATGTGTCTATAGCTCAACCTTCAACAGTAATCTTACTTGCAGATTTCAGGTTTTCAGCTCTATCCTTTCAAGCAAAATCCAAATTGTACTAAATTTAGTACCATATAGAACTTTTCGTACCAGTCATTATACCCTTCACCGCAGTGTGGTACAGGGTATTGTCTTTGTGCATATGTTTGTAACAGGCAAAAATAATCGAGATAGACCCATGGTTCCTTTTGAGAATATGTATAGAATCACTTTCTGAGTCGATTTATGCATGTCCGTCTGTCCGTCCGTCCACGTATTTTTGTTATCATCCGATTTGGATGAAATTTGGCACAGGTCACTTAATTGGCTCAAGGACGAACCCTACTGAAAATGAGAAAAATCGGTTCAGATTTAGATATAGCTCCCATATATAGTTTCGTCCGATTTAAAGTAAATGGTGCACCAAAATCCCTATATACCTTTCGATTTGCACGAAATTTGGCACAGAGTACTGAATTAGGTCTAGAATGATGTGTGCTAAGTTTCGAGAAAATCGGGTCAGATTTACATATAACTCCCATATATAGTTTCGTCCGAATAAAGGTAAATGCTGCACCAAAGTCCCTATATATCTTTCGATTTGCACGAAATTTGGCACAGAGTACTGAATTAGGCCCAGAATGATGTGTGATAAGTTTCGAGAATGTACATATATCTTCTATATATATTTTCGTCCGATTTTAAGTTAATGGTACACTAAAGGCTCATACAGACCCATACACGTACAGAAATTAATAAAAATCTAGCAAGTTTCTCTGAAATTGGTTCAGATTAGCTTCCATATATAATTTCGACCTATTCATGTTGACTGTACACCAAATAATCGCCTTAGAAAAGGCGACGTCTGTTAGGATGCATATGCAGAATATCCCCAAAGTGGTGAAGGATATCATGTAGTCGGCCCAGTCCGACTTTACTACTTTCCTTACTAGTTTAATTTCTCAATTTGAAGACTCCAGCTCTATCCGTTCACATAAATCCAAATGCACCAAATTTAGTACAATTTAGAACTTTTCGAACACATAAGTACGATTTTTTAAAGCTACCTCAATCCTGTACTACAATAGTATTCTTATTTCCGATTTTCAGGCTTTCATCTCTATACACTCATTTAAACGCAAATAGTACTAAATTTAGTACCACTTTGTAAATTTTATATAAATATGTACTAATTTCATAAACCATTTCCATACATCAATACCACTTCCCAATCTTTATTCCATATAAAATTTCAAGATTCTAGCTATATATGTTCAATACATATACAATTAGAACTAAATTTAGAACTTTTCGTACACTTTTAGATCGAATTTTCAAAACCCCTTTTGTACATCTTTCTATCTTTCCATCAGTGACCCACATTTCAGAATTCTAGCTCTTCCCGTTCGCCTAATACAATGGGTACAATATTTGGTACATTTTAGTACTTTTCGTACCCTTCTAGTTCGAATTTCCAAAAACCCAGCCTTAACTCACGCCTACACACTAACAACAACCCACACTCAATGATCTGTCAGTCAGTCACTCACTTAACACTTAGCTCTTTTATATATATATATATATATATAGATAATCAAAACGGAACTTTCCCGAAAAGTTGCATAACTTATGAACAAAAATTAGGCAGTGGTCATAGAAATCAATGAACATTTGACGTTTATATTTAAAATGGGTATTAGTATGGACATCTTATTTAAATCGATATCACTTCTTTGTATGGGTTACTGAAACCTTTTTATGATTATCACAATTAAAGAC